TCAGAATCCTTTCCTTTATACTGATGTAGTAAGCTTTGCAAGAAGATTACAGAAATATAGCAGAATCAGCTAAATATTTGAAAGACCAAACACCATTCATCTTGGTGTCAAACAAGGATCTACATTCAGCCTTCTTCATTGGCAGCCTTATGCCAATAAGGTGGCTGAAGGGAATGTACTGCTGAACTGACTTACAGAGTCAATGTTTAGACCCCACAGCTGGGACCGGCAACTTGCCGTTAAGTGAGGTGGTCACCAAGTGAATCTGTGACTGTACTTGTGATTTTACTTCAGTTTTCCTTTGCTTTCCAGACCTGTGAAGGTCATAGAGTAAATACAAAGATTGGCCAGTTATTATTACATCACTGTCATAACTATCATCAGTCACTAAATGAGGCAGTTGCTAAATGCATGCCACTCGTATTTGTTCATCATTTGTTTACTACCTATAGGCCAAAGTGATGCAATTAATACTTTTCCTTCAGCTATAGCAGGGTTGTCACTCGATTTCATTGAGGGCCACATCAGGGTTGTGTTTGACCTTGGGTCACCGGGGTGGGCGTGGCCAGGATAGGCATGGCCAGTTTGACATCACTCATGTTGGGGGGTGCCTGTGGTGGCTTGAGCATTCTGCCAGCGAAAATGGACTCCTGAGGTAGAGGAACCATGGGCCGGCCCGTCACTGTTTCTGGGGCAGCCCCGTGGGCCAAATCTAAGCACCCCATAGGCTGGCTCCGGCCTGTGGGCCTTGAGTCCAACACCCCTGAGCTATAGAGATGATGCAGAGCACATTTTTGCATGAAGAAAATTCCTACTTCATGGCATAGGGCCTAGCTATCTGCGAGACCGCCTGCTGCTACCGACGACCTCCCATCGACACGTGCGCTCCCATAGAGAGGGCCTCCTCAGGGTGCCATCAGCCAAACAATGTAGGCTGGTGGCCCCCAGGGGGAGGGCCTTCTCTGTGGGGGCTCCCACCCTCTGGAATCAGTTGCCCCCGGAGATAAGGAGAATCCATGACCTCAATGCCTTCCGTCGTTCCCTGAAAACCCATCTTTTCCAGCAAGCCGGGTTGGCTTAAGAAGAAATTTTTAAATTCTTTTAATTAGTTTGTGATTTTTTAACTTTCGGGCCAAAATTTATATATATTTTTAAATGTTTTAATATTTGTATTCTATGTTTTTTATCTTGGCTGTACACCGCCCTGAGTCCTCAGGGAGAAGGGCAGTATATAAATTGGAAATTAAATTAAATTAAATTAAAATCTGCCATCACCAATATGAAGTGGCTCGGAGGGAAGGAATGGGAAAAACCATTCCATGAAAACATGAATGAACAATTGGTGCCACAAACATACTGAATCCCTTACATGTTTAAATCTCTGACTGCTTTACCTAAGGCCTTTATTATAACAAACAACAAAAACTGTATTTCTAACCTGCATATCTTCACGACACCATCCAACCACAAGCAAAACTAATGAATGAACGTTAATGTCAAAATGGCCCCAAAGCAATAAAATTTATATACACCCCAATACACACACACACACACACACACACACAAATAGTAAAAATAACCCTTATACAGTGATCAAATCCTCAATCTATGCATCCAATTCTCCCATCAGCTAGAAATATTTATAACAAAACAGCCCCATTAGCTTACTTTACTAACCATTCTGAACACCTGCTCATAACAAGTCTGACTTATTAAATAAGTTTTCAAATCTTTCTCAAATGCATCAAGAGTTGTGAAGCCAGAATGGTTTTGATTTGATTTTGATTTGATTTGATTGAATTTGTATACTGCCCTACTCCCGAAGGACTTAGGGCAGTGAACAGCCATAAAATAAAACATATAAGAATGGGTCAGGAAGGGATTTCCATTGATCTAAAATTGTCCCTACCATTAGACAAACTGCCTGATGCCTTAAGCAGCAAATGCTATAAAGAGGGATATGGCAAAGATGTTAAAGAACAGAAGAATATATGCAACAGAAAAGCTAACCTTCACCCTCTACCCACTACCAACCAGAAGTCATTCTAGCTCCTTTCTGGATGTAGAAATCAGAGCAGACAGCAATTTCTTTGTGCTTGACTTCTAAATCTCTTGCATTGATTGAATTAATGACTATTATGAAGTATTTATTATATTTGCTTTCAACTTTCCTTCAAACCAAAAACAAGGCAGTGTGAGGCTTGCAAATTATTTAGCATCCCGGCATTGACTGCAGCTATTTTTGCTTAACTTCAGCAAGAGAGCATATGCGTACCTTGTGCTTTTAATCCAGAATCTTTAATTATGCTGCTCTTGTTATTGCATAAGTATTAAAAAGCGAGCAATTGGTTAAGACTCTTCTCTGAGATGCTTCTTTCATCCTGGAACTCAGAGTGGCACACAAGGGATAGTAATATGTCTTGGTATAAAAATCTGGACAGCTCAAGAACACCGTTTTAATATATTTCATTATTATGTGTCTTTGTTCCATCTCGCAGCTCAATGAAATCTTCATGTCTTGAGGGTGAACATTAGACAGACCTATTCTACTACTTTTAAAAACTGAATAATGGAATATACTTAGTACTGGATCTTCTAATCATTTCTCACTCTCTGAGATTGTATAGTCAAAATTGCATTGGTTGCCTTGTGGCTTCATCTGCAATGTTCTTCAGGTCTTCAGCATTCAATTCCAGCTACACTTTATTATTTGAAAACAGAAAAAGAAACCCTCCACAACATGAAATGAATCTGGGCATATATAGTATATATATATAATGGTAAAATAGACACTTACTTGCAAATTAACATGTTAATTTTATATTAAAATTTAAGGGAATTACAAATGATGTTTTGGTTATTTCTCCCTCTTTCCAGCCACCAAACTGATACAAATGATTCATTCAGAACAGTATCAGCAGACAGCGAGGCAAGCAATCAGCATGCGTTCATTTGAAAGGAAAACATATGAAAACTATGCATATGTTATTTCCATTGATCCACTAGTTAGAAATTAGGCTGAATTAGACACGCAGATGCCCTTGAATGTCCTCCATTTCCATCTATAAGACTGAGTTACGGTTGTTTTCTGCTTATCTAATAAAACTTCTCAGAGTAAACCACTTTTAGAAAAACTGTATTTGAGAATGTGGAATAAGGTGGATTTTTGTCTGATCTGACATTTTCATTTTCAGTACCTTTTTTTTTTTTGCAAGTGGGAGGGGAGAGAAAGAATCCAAGATCCAGCAATTCACAGTATTGCTGGGTATTATTTCCTCTCCCATAAAGGGGCTTCAGAAGATACAGGTGTGCAAATATACTATGTCTTTGCCTCTCCCAAAGGATGGGATTCATTCATGGCATATCTTCTAGACTGCTGTACAGAGTTCCAAAGAGGGGCTAATTTTCAGCATTTCAAAGTATTATTCAGAATCAAATCCAAAGCACAGCAGAGTCCTAATCATCAAGTGAAAAAAACAAACCCAAACAAAACTAAGATACTTTTGAGAACTTGAAAGTACCTGAGTGGAAAACCCAGTCATAAATGTCTAAGCCTGTCTAGCTTCCCCAGAATTAGACATGTACAAACAGGATTATTTATCAATTGGCAGTACATTTTAAAAATCGAAGTATTTCTTCATATCAAACATAACAGAACTTCCTGAATCATGATGTTTACTGCTTTTTGTTTTTGCTTTAGATTTAAAAGGAAATAATAGGCACAAGTGTAAAAGATGTAATATATGAGTGGCTATCAAGAATCACAAATGTCCTTCAGTCCTTCCTCAACTCCTCAAACCAGGATCCAGGCTTTTACCAGCACAACAATCCTGAGAGGTAGTTTTTGGCACTGAGTTTTCTCATTTCCAAGAGAAATCCATCGGCATTGTCATCCAGTAGCCTGATCCCCTCTCTGCAATCCTGATTTGTGCATTTGCAAGACAGCAATGCCTACCCCGCGGTATACAAAGAATGCATCTCCTTTATTACTTAGATATAATTACAATATGTTTAACTTCAATTAAAACAAGGGAAGACATTCTGCTTGCAATTTGCATAAACACCAGGATGGTATTACAATCACGATCATTGTAAGCAGTTATTTGTTGGGGTGTTGGGTGGGAGAGGAACCATTAATTCAGCAGATCTCCAAGTGGGGTAAATGGGAAGAAGACAGAAATTAGAACCGCAGTAGAAAAATGTACACAGAAAAAACTATGTTGGGGAAGCTTTTTTAAATTCAGTTTCAATCAGGGGCCTGGATAGCTCAACAGACAGAAGCACTGTAATTTAACACCAGCTGTCTGCAATTAAAAGTAAGATCGAATCTCGCCAGGCTCAAGGTTGACTCAGCCTTCCATCCTTTCTAAGGTAGGTAAATTGAGGACCCAGTTTGTGGGGGCAATAAGCTGACTTTGTATAAATATACAAAAGTATGAAGGCTATTGCTTAACGCGCTGTAAGCCGCCCTGAGTCTCCGGAGAAGGGCGGCATATAAATCAAATTTAAAAAAAAAATCAACAATGCCCACCCTTATAATTTCAAGAGGGTGGATTCCAGCTCACATTGGCAAGAGGGAAATTTGAATGGCTTTGGTTTTCTAGAACTGATGAACTGGTCGGCGTTTATGGGCGCTTCAATAGCAAGTGAGGACTAATCAGTCCGGAGAAAAGGTGCTGAAAAGGCTTCGGGTGGAAGGCGAAGAGGCTGATCCTACTTGCAATAGCTTGAAGAAGATCGGGATCTGTCGCGGCGGTTAAACAGAGCCTCCTAGGACCGGGGTGGTGATGGTTTGTACCTCTGAATTAGAGCCTCCTAAGATGGGAAGGGGGGGAGATTCGCCTCTTCTCACCTCTTCAAGGTCCCACGTGGTCAACCGCAAAATGCAACCAGCAAACACGCTGGGGGTCCGGCATGGATCGGATCCCCCCAACCCCCACCCCCCCACCAGGTGCGCGGACCTTGGGTCATCCCTCCCCTCCCCTCCGCCCCGCTCTCACCTGTCCACCGCGATGACCGTCATGGAGTAGATGCTGGCGAAGACGGCGGTGATGGGGAAGAAGTTCTGGAAGCGGCAGTAAGCCTCCCCGAAGTACCAGTCGCCGTGGAGCGCGTAGATAAAGTTGACCAAGGTGTTGAAGGCGGCCACCGAGGCGTCGGAGAAAGCCAGGTTGACCAGAAAGGAGTTGGTCACGGTCCTCATGCGCTTGTGGGCCAGAATGATCCAGATGACCACCAGGTTGCCGAAGACGGCCACGGCCACCACCACGCCGTAAGCCAAGGACCAGAGCGCCAGGCACCACGCCGGCTGCACGAACTGGTTGGAAAAGTTACCCACCGGAGACGACCAGTTACTCCCAGCTGGGGAGGACAAGCTCTCGTTCCAGCCGCCCAGCTCGGCTCCGCTCCAGTTGACCGCGGGGATGGAAGTCATTCTGGCTCGGAGGAAAGCTTCCCCACCACCTCCCGACCCAGCGTCTCCTTGGGAAGTCAGAGGGTCCCCTCGCCAGGTGGGCGCCGCTGCGGTGGCTCTTCCCCGGAATGCCGCTCGGAGAAAGTGTGTGTGTGGGGGGGGGGGGGGGGGCGAGTGGCCGTCGAAGCCTCTTATATAGCTTTGCGGAGTTGAGGATGATGGACTCCATAGGCTGCTGGGGAGGCTTCTCCCCTCCCTCCTTCGTTTCGGTCCCTCCCCTTGGCTGGCTTTGGCCACAGCGGCGGGCGCTTTGAGCTCGGACGTCTCCGCGAGGAAAAGCCCACCAAAACGCTTTCGGTGGTCCTTCAACTGAAGCCCACTCCCCGCCCTCCACCCCCGCGCTCGTCTTCCCCACCGCCGCCGCAACACAGCTTCTCACCTTCTCTCTCCCAACCTTTCTGAAAATCTCGGGCGGCTCTTAAAGCCACTCGCCCGGACTCCGGTGGCCAAGGATCCCGGGAGGAATGCCACCTAAAGATGCTCCAACTTCATTCACATGGAGCGAATATGGATTCTGGTCAAATAGACTGTCCGCCTAGATGAGTAAAACACCTGGTTGATACTTGAATGGGAAATTTGGGCTAGAGGATGATTAAAAACTGCCCCTCTTTCAGTGGTGAAATCCACATTTTTTTTTACTACTACCGGTTCTGTGGGTGTGGCGTGGCTTGGTGGGTGTGGCTTGGTGGGCATGGCAGGGGAAGGATACTGCAAAATCTTCATTCCCACCCCACTCCAGGGGAAGGATACTGCAAAATCCCCATTCCCTCCCCACTCCTGGGGGAAGGATACTGCAAATTCTCCATTCCCATCCCACTCTGCGGCCAGCCAGAGGTGGTATTTGCCCGTTTTCCGAACTGCTCAAAATTTCCACTACCAAATCTGCTGGATTTCACCCCTGCCCTCTTTCCACTAGAAGCCAATCCATGAATGGTCCAAGAGTCATGTAGGACTTGAAGGAGATTTTATTTTATCATTCCAAGACAATTTCCCCCCCCCCCCCCCAGACATTCTCTCTTGCTCTATTCAATGGAATTCATGCTCAGGTAAGTTTTCCATTTGCAGTTCCTCTGGTTTTCTCAAGCATATTGTTTAATGCTCCTGAATAACAGCTTCCCTCTTGCTCTCTCTCTCTCTCTCTTTTTTTGTTCTTCACAATCTTTCTAAAATGTGCCCTATAGAAACCAATGGGGGGGGGGGAACCTCCGACTGCACTCTACTAAAATGCCTTTAAATTCAAGGTAGAAGTCATTATTATTATGATAGAGATAAAATGGCAGCTGTGATATTCCACTGGGATAGGCAGAACCTACTGTAAGTTAGGAATCCGAGCAGAATTTCTTAAGGAGTAAGGAAAGCTACTCCAAGCCTTTGCCACCCGAGTTCTGGCTTATTAGATGTTTAATGGATGCTTCATTTCATCCTTGTCACCCTCAGTTCCGCAGCTAATCATCATGAAATCGAATGTCAGTGAATCTTTGCTTCTAAGGTTAGCTCTTAGTTCTCATGAAAGTATTATAAAGAGGGGCAAAAGCAGCTTTGCATCTCTCCCATGTTTAAATGTGTATGCAAGTATCAACAAGTGAAGCTTTTCAGAGCAAAAAGATAATATGATCATTAATAGAACAGGCTCTCTATAGCCATTTGACATTTATGCAATTCTAGAATCTCACCCAAATTCAAAAACCCAGGCTGATTTGTCTCTGGAAAGAGCAGGATGATCTACCTTCCCAGGAAATTTTGTTCTTTAACGCAGAAAGGTGGATTGGTGGCTTTCCGGATATTGCTAAACAAAATTCCAGGATCCCTTAACAACAGTCATGTTGACTTAGGCAAATTGGAAATGTAGTTCAACAATATCTGGAAAGTCATTGCTTTTTGCTCTGCTCTTAAACAGAATACTGTAAGTCTATATCAGGGGTGTCAAACTTACATCGTCATGGTGACGTCACGTGACGTATTGGGACTTCCCCCCCTTCGCTAAATCGGGTATGGGTGTGGCCGGCACATGACACATCTGGCCTGTGGGCCAGGAGTTTGACAGCCCTGGTCTATATCATCCTCTACTCGATCACTTTTAAAGAAATAGTCATGCCTTGTCTTAATGTTCTCTGTGTTAAATGTAGTCTGTTCTTTTACATTTTAGTTTTAGGGCAGGGAAGCAAGCTTGAGCCCTACAGTATGTTTTCCCATCATCTTCACATCTACTGTATTCACATAACACACACATCTGTGATTAATTTATCCATATTTACTTAACTAAATCAATAGTCTGCATTCACAGAACACACTAAGCCCATGATGGCGAACCTATGGCACGCATACCACCTGTGGCACATGGAGCCATATTTGTGGGCATGCGAGCATTGCCCTAGCTCAGTTCCAGCACGCATGCGGGCACCAGCCAGCTGATTTTTGGGCCATCCGGGCACACCAGAAGTTGGAAAATGGACTGTTTCTGGCCTCCGGAGGGCCTCCGGGGGTTTGGGGATGGCCGTTTTTGCCCTCCCCAGGCTCCTAGAAAACCTCTGGAGCCTGGGGAAGGCGAAAACCAAGCTTACCTGGCCCACCGTGCCATCGTGTGCCAAAAGCAGGGGGAGTGTGGGGGGTCGTGGGCACATGCACTGGAGGGCAGGGTACATTGAATTATGGGTGTGGGCACGCATGCGCTGACCCCCCCCGCACGACCCCTGCTTTTGGCACACAATGGCAAAAAGGTTAGCCATCACTGCACTAAGCCATAAACACACTGCATTTACTGGGTTTGCATAGCGCATTGACATACAAACTAGTCCACTGTAGGTTAGCTTAGTGCATTATGGACATAGTTTAGCATATTATAGAGATTAGAGAAATAGCACCAGCTAAGCTTCTACTCCTTTACGATCATGCCTTTTAAGCGGTGGTGGAATTCAACATTTTTTACTACCGGTTCTGTGGGCATGGCTTGGTGGGCGTGGCTTGGAGGACAGGGGAAGGATACTTCAAAATCTCTATTCCCACCCCACTCCAGGGGAAGGATACTGCAAAATCCCCATTCCCTCCCCACTCCTGGGGGAAGGACATTGCAAAACCCTGGGGCCAGCCAGAGGTGGTATTTGCCGGTTCTCCGAACTACTCAAAATTTCCGCTATCTGTCAGAACGTGCTGAATAGCACCCCTGCTATTTTAAGGATCTCTGCCTCTTTTATTTAACAAGAAAAAACACAGCTTTTTAGATGTTGTCTTTTGATTTTTCTCATATTGTCATGAGTTACTTTTGTTACTACTTGACAAATAGAAAGGCATTATATATTTAAACGATTGGCAATTGGCATCTGAAGACATAAGAATTTGTTCAAAAGTTGGCTGTCTCAGTTGGCCTCTGAAATATTTCAAGTAATAAGGGAAATAGCACTTTCAAGCTGCAGCATTAATTTGAGCAGTAATGAGAGAAGGGTGGCTACCAATTATAAAACAAATAGTAATTAGAAGGCATTTCAAACAAATCAGTAATCAATTGCGGCCATCAAGATGAATAGAATGGTTAGCTTTCCATGTCTGGGCTGGCTGAATGTGCTTGACAATCATATTACTCAAGTAATTTCTATAATGGGTTGGGCCTCGATATGAAACGGTTTTACTATTCTGTTAAAGCAAATTATAATAATTCATTATAATTATAAATATTATAGTGATATAGTAAATAGACATGCAGTGATTGTATCTATAAATATCAATAAAACTCAAACAGCTGTTTAGACAATAGCTCAGAGGTTCAATAATCTAATGTAGCCGTTTAAGAACAGCAAGGAAAAAGAACACGAAACAAATCACAGCAGCAGAAAACCTTTCCCCCCCCTTTCTCAGCTAGTATCCTTACGACTCTTTAAATTATTGTCACTTTCTGGGTCTGTGCGTGCGTGTGCAATGAATGTCTACCCTTAACCTACATATGTTAACTGACTGACACATGTTTCACCATTCTTGGCAAGCTTTCCTTCCAGCTCTCATTAGTTTTTTCCTCTCCCTCCATTCTAGAAGCAAGCATCAATCTGGAGCAAATCCAAAGGAGAAGCAAAATAATTTAAGGCAATTTGTTTGGTGTTCCAGGGCAAAAATAAGGCTAAGCCAATAGGGGCTTGGCTGGGACCTGGCCTGTCAGAGATATATGGTCTACTGTACTACTTACATCTCTGCAGCTTAGGAAATCTGTCTTGAACCACTGAGTTAGACTGCAGCAATGAGCACAATATTGGATTTCAATAAATGGCAAATGCTTTTTCAAGCTGTGGTGTGCTTGGAAATCAGGGAAATGGGGCTAAATCAACGCCAGCATTACAGGGGTGGATTGTGATATAGACCGCTGCAAAGTCTGTGCTCATTCTGACTTAGGAAAATCTCACAAATGATTCTTCTGGAAGTTAGCTTTTTTAGCTTGCTGTGCTAATTCTTTTTTTTCTTTGTCCTTTCTTTTTCCTTCGTTCGGCACCTCAGCTTACAACTCCTTACAACTCTTTTGCTGGTTATGAATTGTGATGGTTACTTTTATATAATTCTACACTACTTTTGGCTTTTATATTTCACATAGTGAAATATAGTTGCTAAATGTAGTTGTCCCAGATAAGTACTCAATTTTATATTCTTACATGATGGATAGTCATAAATTCAAGTCCTAGGAATGACAAATCAGGAAGGGAGACAGTTTTTCCTTCCAAAATAATCTTCCTTTGGCTTCATAGCTCCTATCAGTTAAAAAGTGCCACAAAAGTTCTCCAAAGACAAATTCTGAAATCAAAACAACAGAAGGGGGGGGGAGAAAATATTTATTTTAAAAACCACTGATTTTGATTACTGATTTTGAATACTGATTACTAGGTGGTAACATGAGGTTGGATTTATCCTGTTTGGGACAGATAGATCTTTCTATAGATTTTCAACCCTCTACCAGAAATCAAATTCAGGGGTCATTTTATACTTGTGGCTCATTTATCAGATTTGATTTTAACAGTAAAATTTGCCTGAAAATTTCATCCCTTGGTTCAGTCTAGGATGACTTGGATCACTTCTTAACTCTAGGTCAGATTCCTAAGTGAATTT